TAATTTAAAAAAAATATTTTAACTGACGTCGCAGTAACATTGGTACGCGCGCAGAGACTCACGTCGCGTCCCTTGTTGCACTCGTCCCACTGGCGCAGCTCCTCGGAGGCCAAGAGGCGCCTCCGCTGCTGGGCGGGGTCCTGGGGGGAGCACGGCCCGGGGTGCTGCAGGGAGAGGCCTGCGGGCGACAACGACGCTCGGTCAGTCTTGTCCAGACCACCGTCAGGAGGTATGGGCGTGGACCCACCGGGCTCGGCGGCGCAGTCCAGGTGGCACTGGCTCGGGTACGTCGCGAGGTCCGAGCCGCACACCTCGGAGGCGGCGGTCGCGGGCGGGCACGGGCAGGCCAGGGCGAGCGGCGCCAGCAGCAGCAGCATGGCGGGCAGCATCGCGGACGCGGCGGTAGTCCTGGAGTGACTAAGTGGATCCAGGGGAACCGATAACTCGACTTCTGGGGAGACACGGTAGCACTGGGTACGCGGAGTACACTCTGGGACGGAGTCGTATTACCCGGGGTCCTGTCAGCCCGGGACACACGGAGCACACCCCAGTCGTCGACCCCTCGAACTGGACTGGACTGCCTATTAACTGAACGAGCCTGCCAACACGAGCTACTGTATAACAACCTTGGCCCTGGCCCACAGCTGCGCAGCGGCGCACTCCAGACAACGCTCCACGCGTCGGGACGACAGGAAATCAGTAATGCACTTAACACGTTCCCTGCGGCGTGACCACTATGTGGTCACGCCCCCATGTTAAATCATAGGCACTAAAATTTTGCCACAGGGAACGTGTTAACAACTCGCGAACAACGCATCCTATGGGAACCACACTTTTGCACAGATACACGCTCGCGGGCACGCAACGCCCAGACTCACTATGGCGCCAAATTTGACAGACAAGCAGACCTGCGTTTATCCCAGAGCGAGAAAAGCCGATGCAGGAGACGGAGCGAACGTGAAGGGCGTCCCCACCCAAAGCGTCGGCACGGCTGGAGCCTCGCGTATCGCCCGCCTCCTGGCGGTGATGCGGAAGGAGGGGGGGGGGGAGAGGGGAGGGGGCATGCATAAAACAGGTGCCCGCGGCCCCAAAGTATGGCTCCGTTTGCTTTCAGTGCGCTGTTTAGGCGCGCGCATTCATGGATGTGTGTGTGTGTGTGTATGTGTGTATGCTTTTCAAAGTTTCCCCTGGCCGCTCGTTTGTTTGTCCGGCTTACGTCCGTTTATTTTTGCAGAGTACTAGTTTATTAGGCCGATACGGACCTGATTATTCAGAGAGCCCCCCTCCCTTTCCTCCTCTCTCTCCCTCTTTCCTCCCTATCTCTCCCCTTCTGCTACTGTTGGTGCTTCTTTTTGTTTCGTGTTTCGTGTCTGTCTCCATATGTTTTGCTTTGCTTATTCCGCTCGCGCGTCGTGTATGCGAATCACGTTTACGTCGAAATGAAATAAAATGATCCCGTCGATCTCCATTAAACCACATGACGACACACTTTTTCGAGTGTGGCGCTTTTGTGAGGGACTTCCCATCATTGGAAGCGCAGTGTAGCTGCTTGACGCTAAGCTGACACGGCCGGACACCAGCCCGCCCTTCGTCTCTCTCTCTCTCTCTCTCTCACTCTCTCACTCTCTCTCCCTCTCCCCCTCCCTCTCTCTCTCCCTCTCCCTCTCCCCCTCCCTCCCTCTCTCTTCTATCCTCGACCTCAAGCCTTCACTCACGCCCTCGCCCCCTAAAGCCTTCCTCTTTTATGGCATCTCATGAGCCAGCCGACCCCCGGGGGGCGGCCCGGCCCGGGCCCCGGGCGCCCCAGTCATGACTGCTTCCCGCAGAGAATCAACCCGCCCGACCCCTTCTCGGCGTGTCCTCTCAGGGCTAGGCTAGGCTCGTCGCAGGTTAAGTGGAAGGGACATGCGATGTGCTGACTGAGTTGGGAGGAGGGGGGAGGCGCATATAAACCCCTGTATAGTGGCCCCCAGCCTCCTCCCCTACCTCGGTCCGTACTGCACTGCCCACTGCTCTTCACGAAGGAACTGCGGTCTGATGGCCGTTCGTTCTGGCATTGACCGCTAGTAAAGCATCAACCGATTCAGCTCGCTCTGCGGCGCTCAGCCAAACTCGAACGCTCCAGCCTGAACCTGAAGTGGGAAAGCCGTTGGTAGTGCCTTCGCATGCGAACTTTTCTTTTTGGATCAAAGTGAAATTGTCCACTAATATTTAACATAGAAAAGTTGGATAGTGGCTGGGTGTAACCTGTCGACACCGAGGTCGAGACGCAGAAGCTATCGCATACCTCGTAAAATATATCGAAAATTTAGGAGCCGTGCAAAACTGTCAAATATATGATTAGCACAATTTAAACTTGGTAATGTATTTTATTATAAATTGTTCTGTGAATTGAACTATAAATTATATTATTAGGTGTTCGAGGTCGAGTTTTACAATAGTGTTTCAAGTTCATTGAAATGGAAATATTTTACTCCCGGCCTGGGCTATAGCACAACCTCTGTTCCGCTGCCGCTTGTTCTGTTCGCTCGTCTTACGACCGTGCGTGATGCGGCAGCTCTGTGCGACGTGCACGCACACGCACTCTTGTGCACGCACGCTCGTGCAGGGAACTCGGTCTTTTACCAGTCCAGCGACAGGATCCCGACCTGCGTTGGACTGGTGAAAAAGAGCTGCCTTCAAAATGAGCGACGTTTGTTGGCGATGATGTCATCATCAGTGATCGAGTCAGTGATTACTTTTGGCCCGGATATGGATCTGACACTGACGGAGGGGTCCGTGCGGATTGTGCGCAATTCGACAAGCGAGAATAAAAACCACTCACCTCTAGCTGTCGTTTAGAAAACCGCTAAATTGACTTTTTTTTTTACAGATTTTGAGTCATTGGTATCAATAGAATCAGCGCCTTTTAGGGATCATTTATTTGATACCAACATTTCTATAACTCCATATCTCTATATCAATACCAAAATTCTAAACGGTCGTTAGAGGTGAGCGGTTTTTATTCTCGTGTGTCGAATTGTTGCTCACCGGAAGAAGAAAAAGAAGGACTCAACGTGTTGAAATGCCTTCACAGAGAAATCACAAGTTATTATCATCCCTACAAAGGCATGAAAACTGCCCACAGGTGCTGAATTTCAATGCCTTTGGACACCTTCGTGCCTTAACAAAGGCTTTAAAATTTAACGCCCTCAGAAAGGCATTAAGTCCTTTGGTTCTCCTAGTGCTGTTCTAGAGTCGTCACGCTGCCGGAGAGCGGGCGGGAACCTTTTTTTTTCATTGCGTGGCTTTAGATATTTTTAGGCTAGTCTATTAGTTTATGAGCAGGCTTACACTCATGTCCAGGAGGATGACGTCAGACGGTGCGACGCGTTCAGTTGCGCCGTGCCCCAGTTTCGGCATTGAGTTATAGCAGGCAGGGGGTGACTGCTTCCACGGGGATGGGCCGAGAGATGGACGGCCGGCTAACCCGGTTAGACTGCTACCTGTAGCGCCCCCCATGTGTGGTGAGAGAGAGAGAGTGCGTCCTCCATACCCATCCAAGAAGGACCGAAGGGTCCCCTTGACTCTAAAGTTATGTCCTCAGTGCTATATAGCACTCTCCTCAAGACACTCCTCCTAGTCCTCGTCCTCCTCGTCGTCCTCCTCCTCCTCCTCCTCCTCCTCCTCCTCCTCC